TCCTGAAATTGGGGACTTTGCCTTTGTAACAGACCACACTTACACCAAGTCCCAGATCAAACAAATGGAAAGGAAGATTCTACAAGCTCTAGACTTTGCCTTGGGCCGCCCTCTACCACTGCACTTTCTAAGGAGGGCATCAAAGATTGGAGAGGTAAAATTCATGAGGCTCTTGAAGCCTTTATTAAAGGCAACTTATCAGTTTACCTTCAGATCTACTTGCAAAAGTGCTATTCATAAATGAAAAATTCAATCTGTGCTAGCTTCTCCAAAATGCAAGTCTTATCTTGGCTGGTAGCTAGCTGCCACTTTAGAGCTATGCACAAATACAACTGGTATTCAGGGGAATGCCGTTCTTGCAGACCTGACTAGACTGCTGCTAGTACAGTCTAAAGGAGAAACCACAAATGGCAGAAATAGGTGCACTAATAATGGGACACAACTTGTATAAGCTGTGCAACAAGAGATGTGGGGCTGGGGACAGTCCTATTCCAGGGGATGTAGAAAAGAAGTAGAATGCCTTTGTTTCCCCCCATCAGGGCTTACTAAGAGACAACTAATGCTTGTTTCTCATTCTAGGTGGACCTAGAACAGCACACTCTAGCCAAATATCTGATGGAACTATCCCTGGTGGATTATGAAATGGTACACTACCCTCCATCCCAGATTGCTGCAGCTGCTTTTTGCTTGGCTCTAAAGGTTCTTGATGGTGGAGAGTGGGTAAGTCTAGCTTGGTGCCTTCTAGTTTGAGACTAAACTGAGCAATTGGGTACAATTAACATAGCAGGAGTACCCCCATTGAATTCTGCAGCAAACTATGCTAAACTCAGCCTAGGGTACATGGTTCCATTTCCCAAAATGGGAACTCTGGGCATAGTACCAAGCAAGTTCCACCTAAATAAGATGGGCTTGTGGAAAGCATGATATCTTTCCCACTCTGGAAAGGGAACACTGGTGTAGATCCTGCTCCTTGAAGTAAGGAGCATATCTTTGCCTCTAGATGATGGTTAATAGGATTGGTGTAAACTCCTGAATAACTCTAGTTTCCTTGTCTTAGACACTAACTCTACAACACTACATGTCTTACACTGAGAGTGCTCTTCACCCTGTCATGCAACATATGGCAAAGAATGTGATCCTAGTGAACCGGGGCCTTACGAAGCACATGGTAAGGAACTTACCCATCCTGTAAAAGGAAAGTATGGTGAAGGTGGGAACCAAGTAATACAAAACACTTGGTGCAGCACAACACTTAACCCAAAAAACTGCTTGCTGTTAAACTTGGCTGCTAATGAAGCTTAATGGGTAAATACAGACACTCTAGTCTACCTGCCTAGTGTAGATAGTCTCTGGTATGAGCTCATGGAAAAGCTTGCTTAAATGTGGGTTTTGGATATTAGCTGTTCATAGGCCTGTCATGGCACAAATTGACCAATTTTCAGCTCTTGTCCAATCTCTAGTTGGAAACTGAGACCCCCTCCAAACATCTGGCATTATAATATGCAAGACTTAACCTCATTTTCTTCTCATTTCAGACAGTCAAGAACAAATATGCCAGCAGCAAAAATGCTAAGATTAGCACTCTTCCACAGCTAAACTCTACAGTCATACAGGATCTGGCTAAGCCTGTGTCAAAAGTGGTATAACTTTTTTTATATAAAACTAGCAGAATTAGATTAAAGTTGGCACCATGTGCCATTGTATGTGTTTGTGCATGTGTGTGTATATAATATCTTGTCCTTGACCTAAAGCTTTTAATAAAGCATTTTATGCTTCTTACTCTAATCATGTTTCCTATCATGTCTAAGTATAACCACTTTCCAGTGACAAATCTTAAAACATAAGAGGTTGATTGCTTATTCTTACCCACCTTGTAGCTCTAGTACATTTACCTAGGGTGCTCAGGGGGCCAGGTGTTCTCAACTTTATTTAAAAAAAAAACAAAACTCTTGCACGAAGAGCAGAGGGTCAATGGGCTCTAAAGTGTCAATAGCAAAACAGACCCCACATGTACCAACTGTCCTTGTTAGAGCAAGGACAGCTCTCCCATCATAGCTGCAGAAATGCACTTATATTGCACTGTAAAAGGGTGGTGGGGCAGCTTTGCTAACATCAAGCTATAGGTTCATCCTTAAGAACAGTGGGAGAATAACTTACCACTGCCTCTTGCTACAGGTGTCCAGCTTCTCTAGTCATTTTTCCCCTCTAACCTAAAGTGCAGTGGGTGTCAGCCTGGAGCAATGATCACCTGGGTAGGTGAACCATACACTGCATCCCTCAGCTGGCAATGTAAAAGTTTAATCTCTCCACAAGAGATACAGTATTGGCAGGTGCCTGTCTCAGTCTAACAGGTGTCTCTCTCAAAGAGATGAGTGTGCCTGCTACTCCTATCTTGGAATATTAAGTGGCTTCATGATTACCATAAATCCATTCAGAGTTGTAATGGACATAAGGTAGCTTACTAGTAGTCAGTTATGTGGAGGACTTGTAATGCTCATTAGTTGTCTAGTTCACTACTGTAATACTTGCACTCTCAAGTTACTGACCACTTGATTCATCATATGAGGTTCACCAATTCCCCAGGAGTGGACACACCCTGAGGCCAGATCTAAACATCCTGCTGTGAGCCAAACCTTAATAACGATCTTACTTTTAGTAGTAAAAGAGAAGTTACCTATGGTTGAAAGATCAATATAAATACAAGTGATTCTCTGTGTTCACTGTTCAAGACCACAACAGTGCAAGAATCAACTGCTGACTTGTAAAAGTCTCTCTCTCTCAAATTATGTCAACAGATCAGAATGCAAAGGCAGCTTAGATGTCCAGTTACCCTGGAAAGACTATTCCAAATAGTTATTTGGAATAGCTCCATCCTATATGTTTTAGCTCTTCAAAGTTTAAGCAGACTGGAGATGAAAACATCAAGCCCAAGGTTTCACTTTTATACCTGAAGCAGCTGTTAAGCGTGAGCCCAGCATATGACAGGATTCTTTGTGCACAGGCTGTCCCATCACTTTGATGCTAACATTACCTATGTATGCATAGTAAATACTCAGTTAGCCTGATTAACATATGGCAATTAACCAGTCCTCTATTATAAAAGAGATAGTTAAGCTGAAGACAATGTAGGTATTAGTTTCCTACAGTATTTTACACCCTTGATCTTAAGGTTAACTGGACACAGTCCCATACATAATTAAGACATGAAAGGGAATTAGCATCTAGAAGCTATTTGGTTACACTGATACAATTAACAGAATATAGGTAAACACAAACAAATCCATTTGGTATCTACCCTTAATTTCTAGTACACCTCTACCCTGATATGACACTGTCCTCAGGAGCCAAAAAATCTTACTGCGTTATAGGTGAAACCGTGTTGTATCAAACTTGCTTTGATCCACGGGAGTGTGCAGCCCTGCCCCCCAGAACACTGCTTTACTGTGTTATATCCAAATTTGTGTTATATTGGGGTAGAGGTGTATTACAAATGAATTGCTAGTCTAGTACATTGCTGAAATTCACATAGAAGTGATCTGTCTTGATACAGGTTGGCTGGTCTGTCAGTGTCACAAAATTGGACTTTATGAGGTGGCAATATTCAAATTATTTTTATATGTAAATTAAATGTGGAACACATTTAATAAAAATCTGTTCAATGAGATCTTATAAAGCAGCCAGGGGGAGAATTACTTACATGTATTGCTTCCTTAAAAATCTGTATATGTAAGCGCATCACTCTTAGACCTCAGGCTGGTCTTGCACAAGCCTTCAAGAAAAGGGATTGCGTGCATGGTATTTTCAAAAGCAGGCCTGATAAAAGGGGCCCCCAGCCACAGCTGCCAGCAGAGCAGTGGTGTGCAGAGACCCTTCTGGGCTCCCCGCTTAGGAGCTGCTGCCAGAGGGGTGGGCCGGTCAGTTTCAAGAACCACCCCAGGTAAGCGCTAACCCCAGCCTTGAGCCTGCATTCCTCACCCAAACTCCCTCCCAGAGCTTCTATCCCAACCCCTGGCCCCAGCCTGGTGAAAGTGAGTGAGGGTGGGGAAGAGATGGAGGGGGAGTGTGTGGACTGAGCAGGGGCATGGTCTTAAAGAAGGGGCTGGGCAGGGGGTGGGGCACGAGTCTTTGGGTTTGCATGATTAGACAGTTGGCAATCTTAGGGGCAGGGATGTGGAAGCCCTGGCTGTGCCGGAAGAGCACAGCCGGCAGCCCACTGGGCACCAGCTAGCACAGGCGCAGCACCGCCCAAATGTCAGATGGACCGCATCCACATGGCTTTTGGGGGCCCACTGACTGTTTGGCCCTGGGGCCTGGAATTTCTGTCAGTGGGCCTGTTCAAAATCACTTCACTTAGTTGTAATATTGCAAATGCACTTAAAAATCAGGAACAAGTGTGAAACATTGCTACACCTCTGTGCTTGGAAAGTGAAGGCAAAGGAGTATTTAAGATAGAATCCGCTTGGCTAGTGCAGTAAAATGTCAGGACAGGGCTGAATTGTGAAATGAGCTGGGTATGAAAGTTGATAAAGAAAAGGACGTGGGCGGGCCAAGTCACACAGCAGCTCTGTGCCTGGCTGGAGTTTAGTGTGAGGGCAAAAATGCTGGCGGGTAAAATATGCAATGCCTTGTTCAGATTAGCCATGGTGTGGTGCGGGGCCAGAGCACAATAGTGCCCCATCCTGCCCCGGGAGCCGGGGGACCACCTACCCCCAGAGAGCGGCCTTGTCCACCAACTCCATGCTAGGGAGCAACCTTCCTTCTGCTGTGTCTGCTGGAGCCGTGAACCCTCCCGCCGCCAGGCTGGGTCTGCTGAAGCCACGTTCCCCCCAACCACCTTGCTGCCTCTCTCGCCCCTTCCCGCGGGGACCATCCTCTCATCAGGCCTGAGAGGAGAATGCCGAATTACGAGCCCGGGAAGCGACCGTGAGGATTTCTGGTATCCAGTCAGGAGTAGCCGCCGGCCGCGCTCATCGATGGCGCTGGTGACGTGCAGGGCGGCGGCGGGCGGTTTGAAGGCGCAACCCGGCGGCAGTTGAGCTGCTGTCGGGCGTTGTTGCTGCCGCCCGGATGGAGCCGCTGCAGCGAGTGAAGGACGCGTCCAAAGCCCTGGGGAAGCTGGCGGCTCACAGCGCTGCCGCCGGTGGATCCGTGGAGGCCGGGGCAGCCTCGGGGCTGGGAGCTGCGGCTGGCGAGAAGCTGGACCTGGTGACCCTGCTCCGGTCAGTGCTGCGGCCGCGGGAGTCTCTCCACCGCCCCCGGAGCATCGGCCGAACCCGCGGGTCTCCCCGCCAGGCGCGGCCTGCGGCCCCCTCCGCCGGGCCGGTAGCTCAGAGCCGGACCCAGGGACCCCTGCACCCCCCCTCACACACACCCAGTCCCCTGCCCTGCTCCCTGCACCCCCCACGACCCCAGCCCCACCCTGAGCACCAAACGGAAGCTCCTGCACCCCCCCCCCCACATTCCTACCTGCACCCCTCACACCAAATAGGAGCTGCCCAGGTAAGCGCTCCACACCCAAACCTCCTGCCCCAACCCAGAGGCCCCTCCTGCATCCTAACTCCTGGCCAGACCCTGCACCTCAACCCCCAGCCTGCTCCTTCACCCCCAGCCCTGTGCTCGGTGCACTCTCACCCTCAGCTCAGTGCAGAGAGAGAGGAAGAGAATGGGCTAAAACCAGGGAGAAGGTAGGTACCCACTCTATGTGGGCAGGGCCAGGACCCCAGACCGGCAGCGGGCTGAGTGGGGATTGGATTGAAATGACCCCTGGGCCAGGCTCAGCCCTGCCCTTTCTCTGTGACACCCGGCTCCTGGAGCCCCACGGCCACTGCCCTGGCACTCTCCGGCCCGGGCCTTGGCGTGTACGGGAGGGGAGCTGACGTGTGCCTAGCCCTGATCCATGGGCCCACCTGACCTAGGCATGCAGCCCGCCCAGATCTGAACCCCTCAGGGTTGCTGATGCACCAGTAGGAGAAAGTAACCATTTCTGGTGGCTTTGCTGATGCAATATCAGTCTGGGGTTCCCTTCCGAAAGAGTAAAGGGACAAGCCTGGAGCCCTTCATTTCTATGCTCAGTAAAACTTCACCATGACATTGTCATATGAAGGTCTGTGTAGCTGAGTTTATGTCTGTGTAAGAGGACTGTTGTTCCCTTACTAAAACTCAGTGGGGTTTTTTTTGGTTGGCTAGTTCCCACTACCTAAAGGAAGGCGAAGGGTCGATAGGAAATGAGAACCCTGAGACTGACAGTCCCCAGGGGAAATGGGGGGGGGGGGGGGAGGGAAGCTAAGTCGGTCTAAGTTACACAACTTCAGTTATGAAAATAGCGTAGCTGAAGTTGATGTACTTAGAGCTACTTACTGCAGTGTCTTCACTGCGGTAGGTCGACTGCTGCTGCTCCCCCCTCAACTCTGCTTTCGCTCTAGTGCAGTCAACAGGAGAGCGCTCGGCGGTCGATTTATCGTGACTTCACTAGACACGATAAATCGACCCCTGCTGGATTGATCGCTGAGAGTTTGTGGCCACCATCAGAGCAAGTGTCCAACCCCCAGCATCCCTGCAGCACAGCCAGGGCCTGAGAAGGAGGCCTGGGACATGTGAGGAACAGACTTTGAACTTCCCTTACATTCCAGAGATGCTGTTGTGATGTCCCTGTGCCACAGAGCAGGGTTATGTGTTTTCCTTTAACCTTTCCCATTTTTTCCTTATTTTTTTAAATTGATTGCTGTTTAATAAATTATATTTGCTTTGAACTGTATGTAATGATCAGTGGGTCAGGGAAGTGTCCAGTGCAGAGAGAGTTGTCAGGACACCTAGCCCCTGCCCTAAGTGAGGACACCTAGCCCCTGCCCTAAGTGAGCACAACAAGGTTGGGGGTTGAGTCCCCCAGGAATCCTGGGCCCAGCCTTGTTGGCGTTATGAGGACTCTGCCACACAGGAGAGTGGAAGGGGAGCCCTGGAGGTCAGGCAGGCCTCTGGGTAAAGGAAGTGGGAGTGAGGACTCCGATCCTTTCGCTAGCCCATTTCACTGGGGTAGTGTATAAGCCAGGAAAGTTCCCCACAATAGTGGGCCTATTCCCCCGCTTACATCTGCACTGCACACAAAAATATGTTTTTACACTGAGAGATCCTAGGGGAGGCAAGGCAGTGTAGTTCTTACCTTAACATAAGTAGTTGAAGTAAACCTTAACATAAGTAGTTGAGGGATATAGAATTGACATGCTTACCTACATCAAAATCAGAATTACCTGGGTTAATTCTCCACTAGGATTTTACATCAAGATATGTATCTTGATGGAAAATACACCTTTTTTCCCTTCAGTGAAGATGTCACCTGAGTCCATTGAGGTCATTGTTATCACAGTGACTATGCTATTGTAATTCACTATTGGTTTGGGGATGCCTTTAGAATAACAGATTCTGTTAAAAAACAAACAACCCCGCCCCCAAACTTGCAAATATTTTGCTGGGTATGCTGCAAAATACTCTCTTGATAGTGTTTTTGGAGAGGGCTGAGTGTATACTTCCCACAATAACAAATGGTTGGAAAGGAGTTTCTTTAGATGTCTGACTTCCTTTTGAAGTGTCTGGGATTTTATTTGTTGTATTTATGATGTTTGGGGGCGTCTAGAGCTTTAGAATAGGTGTCTTTTTATTGTTTTAAATCAAATAAATAAAATGATAAAATACTTCTTATTTTAATTTTCTTCTTTCCTCTTATAGACTAAGAGAACAAATAAAACAGCAATTTATGGAATATAATACAACAGTTCATGCAGGTAAGTCTCTTTGTCTTTCTTTCTTTGATTCCTGTCCATTAGCTCCACAGCAACAATGAAGCCAAATGAAGTCTTCCACCACTTTCTGTTTTGTATCACTTTCCTGGCTTCATTCATCTTTAAACCTTTTTTTCCTCTGTCATTCTTCGCTGTCTCTATCCAATGCAAGTAAACGTACATGTTGTCATAACAGAAAATAATGTACCTGCATGCTCTATCTTAATTTGACTGATATTGCAGTAAAGTATTAAAAGATGAGAAACCAATAATAAATGTAAACATTTTAAAGTTTTTTTTTATTTTACAAACAAGATGCTTGTTCAGATTTTTATTGAATACCTTGTTCTTGCACTGAACAGACAACCTCTTTGTTTGCAAAGTTATAATCCTGTGACAATGGTGTGCTTTTGGAATTTCAAATTAGACCCTTTTCAATATCATCACAAAGTTAAAACTATAATAAAGGCTTTCAGAAATCTGTTCAACTGACATCTCACATATTCTGTGTAAACAGATTTTTTTTTTTCAATCTTGTTAACTTAAAAATACTATTGACTTGCAGGTGAAGAAAGCATTCCAGACCAAGCCATAGAAGAAAAGCTAATTGAGGCGTATGTCTTCTGATAACTATTTTTAACTTTTAAAATAGGGGTAAGGGGAAAGCTGTCATAGGTTCTATTCTTACTGCTCTCCTTTTAATAAGAATGTTAGATTAATTATCAGAGCTTTAATTTCACTTGTGGAGTGTGCAAGGGTAAGCAGAGAAATTTTATTCCACCCCTCAAATATTTTTTCATATGATGTGGACTCTGCTCTCTCATACCCATAGTCTTCAGAGTGTTGGCTGGGATTTAGCTACAAATATCCAAGTGCTAAACTAAATTCCACTTTTAAATGAGAATATAATCTTACGTACATCTCTTAAAGTATTTTACCTATGTTAGGCATTCAGATAGCAAGTTGCATTTAGGGTCCAAAACTACATTTGACTTTCAGGTTACTGGTTCCTCTTTAATTATGCTTTTATAATAAAGATGCTTTAAAAAAGGGAATGTACTCTTGTAACTGGATGTAGTGATCAGCATATTTCTAATATTTCTTAAAGAGTTCAGATAAATAAGCATCAGAAGCAGAAACTCAAATACAGATGCTGTTTTCAAACAAATATTCCTAACGATTCAAACGGTGGGAGATACAGAATTCTCTAAATAATGTGTTCTTACTTTTCTTTCTGGTCTTTAAAATGCTGATTATGAATAGAAAAGTGAAGGCATTCCCCTTCCTGATTTTTCTCCATCCCCAAATCTGTTCATAGTACGATTTTTGTTCTGTTAGATATTTTTTAAGCAACCATAATCAGAGGAGAACCATGATCAAAGTTTTTGGCACTAGTTCTGAGTGCTGTTTTGCATTACTGAGGCACAGCAGGAGTGTCTAGTATTATGGCCTAGAGGAAAAAAGTTAACACGGTCATGTGGTGATGCTAGTTAGTTCTGCAATGTAAATATCCTTACATAGGAAAAAGTCAATAATATTATCTAGGTTGTAAAATTGGACACTTAAAGTTAGGAATTGCCAGATTCATGATTGCTCATGCAATCTTAATTCAGCCCTTTTGTGCATCCAATTTGTGCATGGAATGAGACAGAGGTCCTATTGGAAAAAACAGATTGTGATCGTGTAATTAAAGATCATAATGCATATACTCAATGTAGTTGAATTAAGGTTGCATGGACAATTATAAATCTGGCACTTCTTAAATTTCAAGTGCTTGATTTTTGTAGGCTAAATAATATTCTTTTAATTTAGGGATTTGGGTTTGTTTCATGTGTAATTTCTTCAATAAAACTATTATCTCTCATCATTATCTGTCTCATCATGAGGATTTGAACCCTCAGCTTTCAATACGGCAGCACCAACTTCTACAACTTGGGCTACAAGACTAATTCTGATAGTGGATTCACCATGTGCTGAATCCGGGGGGTGGGGGGGGGGGCTGAGGGGAGCTTGGTCTGACTCACTCTATTTGCCACCTTAGGAGCTGAGGGAGCTCTGTTCCATCTGGTGCCTCCAGAGTAGGGGTGAGGAGCTTTGACCAGATGCTGGGGTCAGGAGAGTATTGGGGAGAGCCTCTTTCTTCTCTCTCTCTCCCTGCTCTGCTGTAGCTTCTCCGAAGTATTCCTAGTGGATAGGCTGTTGTTGCCGCTTTGGTGGTGGCAGGACTGGGCTCTTTAGAATGTTCATTGGGTTTGCAGGCTACCAACATCTTCCTGAGGAGCTCAATTACACTTTACAAAGCAGTTAAATCTGAAAGGAATTTCATGGGACAAAGAAAAGGCACTTCTATAGACTAGAGGATTTCTCCCTGCTGAGTATTAAAGGTCTGCTGCAGACAATGGAGGTGATGATGGTTCTTAAAGAAAAGGTCACAAGAATACTTCATAATAGAGAGTTTAGACAAGAAAGGGTTGCTACCTGCTCCCCCTATGGTTAGTTGGGGGATGGGGGGGCCCTGAATCTGTGAGTTGGTGGGTCTTAGTGGTTCTCTTTAACTTTTGTTCCTCCAAATTATTTTACAAATATTCTTTCTGCCATAGCACTGGAAACCAAGTTGGTATCAAAGCACAGCAAAACACATGCGCTGTGATACCAGTGGTACAATGGTACCATAATCAGTCATCCTCTGCTTTTTAAAGGGGAAATTCATCAATAATATATTGGAAAAGTGTCTAACTCCAAAAAAAGACAGTGTAACCATGTTTTATTTAAAGTGTGTGGTTTTGTTTGTCTGTAGAATTCTAAAGTCTTCTGCTATTGCATTTGTTTTTAGTGCCACAGAAGATCTGGAAAGAGAAATGGAACAAGTGAAAGTCTCCTTTCAAAACAAAACACTGGCGTTACAAAGGTAAAGCTCTTCTTAAAGTTTTATTCTGAAATTTTGTTTAAATAGTAATGGAACTACATAAGACTTTATTAATGTTGAACCAAGAAGTTAGAGTTGCAAATAACATCAGAAATGTTAGAATGGTGGTGTCACGTTTTGGGGTGCAATCCACACTAGTGAGGTTGTCAGTACCTGCCCTATAACTCTGGGGTACCTTAAACGCTCTGCTGCTGTGGCTCACAGCCCAGACACCAACAGTCAGCAAACAAGTATACAATGTCGGTTCAACATTCTGACCCCACCAGCTGACCTACAACACAACAGCCCCACCCTGGTCTCCACCAGCCTTGGTTCAAGGTAAATTTCTTACCAATCTTTTTCTTTCTAGCCATGGCAGTCTTTCAGTCAGGACATTCCACAGAAGTACAAGGTGCTGGTTTCCCTTGTCTTCCTAGGTGAAAGATCTTTGCCTCAGCAGGTTTTTCACTTACCATATATACTTGTTCATAAGCTGAATATTTTTGGTAAAAAAGTGACTCATCAAAGAGCGGGATTCGGCTTATAAACGGGTCTACACCAAAAATGGGAGTGGCAGGAAGCGCTGGCCAGCACATCCCTTGGCCCACGCCGCTTCCCGCCGCCCCCATTGGCCTGGAGCGGCGAACCGTGGCCAGTGGGAGCCGCGATTGGCCAAACCTGCTTACCCTGGTGGGCCGCGTGCCAAAGGTTGCCGATCCCTGATCTAATACATTGTAGTTTTGTTTACCTGGAGCGTCTGCAGGCATGGTGCCCCTCAGCTCCCTGTGGCCGCGGTTTGCCATTCCCAGCCAATGCCTGCAGATGCTCCAAGTACACAAAACGTCCCGACCCCGCCAGCGGCTTACCCTGACAGGCCGGGAGCCAAAGTTTTCCAACCCCTGAAATATAGGGTCGACTTATAAAAGGGTCATACAGTTTTTGCTATTTTTACCTATCCATTTTGGGGGGTCGACTTATAAACAAATGGGCTAATGAATGAGTATATAAAGTATATTCAGTTCCCAGAGACTTCAGTTACCTTGGCTGCAAGAACTCTGACCCCTTGTCTGTCCAGCGATGGATGCTGTCTTCTCTCTCCTTATATCTACCCAAACTCATTTTTTTCCCCAGACTCAGATGACTGTATGCTATTCTTCCTTTCTTGTGAACTTCCCATTCCCTTGCTGATATGTAAATAGGGCTTCCATTGTTTTTGGCCATACCTTGCTTAATTTCACTGGAGACAGGTAGATAGTTCCTTTCCTTCCTGTCTGGGGGAAAACCTGTTTCTCCCTGTGTTTGGTCACAGGCTTTGAAGTATAATATCATTAAGTATCCATAATTCCTCATATAGTGTTAATATCTTTGTGAAATGTATGTATTAATCACAAGTGTTGTTAGCTTTCATAAAAGACTTTACTTGATATACTTGTATAATACCGTAATATTGTATGCAGTCAGTGGATTCAATTGCTTATCATTTGAGGTTCATTCTCCTGCAAGAGGCTGTCTCCACTCACTAGCTGATGGCTTTGTTTACCTTTTATGAAAATATAACTTAATTGTCTCTGCCTGATGACCTGATGCTTGCCAAATACCTTTTAAGAACATAATTCTAGCACATATCCATAACTTTGTACACACCCCCATACATACATCATGCAAGAACATTAATGATCAGTGAGTTATTAGTTTTCCAATGATATCTTAGATGTCATCTTGCGGGTATATATCTTGACAACAGTGTGTTACGTGTAGTGAGTATGTCAGGCTTGACAAGAGCTGCTCACATAGCATAATGAACCACCAATGTGCCTCTGCCATGGGTGGCCAAAAAGAATGTAGACAAATATACCTTATAAAAGGAAATGAAAAGGATAAAACAAATAATACTCCAAACCTAAGTCATGGAAGGGCCCCGATCCTGAAAAGATGCATTTTCTCATCTATATTCAAATAGTCTTACTAAAGCTAATAGGATTGTTAACATGAGAAGTTACTTACATGCATAAGTCTTTGCAGGCATAGGCCCATAAACTGTACATTTTTAACACTTCAGTTGAAGAAGTAATCTCTGAATTTCTTGCTCAGTAAATACAATGAGAGAAACAGGAAGCAGGAATTAAGAAAATAAAGCTTGCTTTTTCCAGCTTGGGTATCTAGGAGTTGATCTTCTTTAAGCTATTTATTAGGAAGCTCATAATACAATAGATCAATGAAATTAACAGGAATAAAATATGGTACCAGTTCTGGAGTACAGGTTCACAAAATAAAATAATAAATCCAAATCTCTCTCTCTCTCTTCTTCCCCCCCCTCCCCCCATTATCAGCTTTTTAGGTATACAGTTGAAAGGTCAGAACTGAATAAAAAGGCATTTGTTTTTGGTTTCCTACTATGGATTTAAATGACAGTCTTTATTAATTTGTGAGAAAGAAACTAGATTTGACTAAAATTTATGAGAGAGAGAGAGAAAAATCTTTTTTGGGAGGACTGAGGAAAGTGGCAACACTTGCAAAAATGTTGTCTTAGTCTAAGGGCTTGTCTACACACAGAATGCTATAGCGGCACAGCTGTAGCAATTCTTCCATTGACCTAGCACGGTCTACGTGAGGATTTATGTCAGCTTAACTACACCACTCAGGGGTGTGAATTTTTCAAACTCCTGACTAGCATAGTTTTCTAGTGCAAACCATGCCTAATTTCCACTAGAGATGTCTTCCCCTCCCCTCCCCTGTCTACTCTTCTATCACATCTCCAGTGAGATCTCAGTGGCTTCAGAAACTCCTTAAGCACAAAATGACAGCTTTCTTCAGATCTTAAATACTGCAGTGCTTCCCAATGTCCCACAGCTGGCTAATCCACAATTCCGCTCCAGAGAGGAGAGCTGAGGGCTTCTGCTTAGTCAGATTGTCTAGTTCTTCCTAACAGAACCCAGCTCCAGGGAGGAGAGCTGGGGAGACTCCTGGCTAAGGAGAAAGTGTGGAACTAACTAATACAGCCCAGTTCCAAAGAAGAGAGCTAGGGATTCCTGCTTACAGAAGTACTGAAAAGGGGTAACTCGCAAAGGAATCAGGAAGCATTCCTGGCCCACACATGGTTTTCAGGCACAGGAAAGAAGAGTCTCCAGAAGGAAGGAGACAGAAACTGTTAGTTGGGCTTAACCTAAGGCGATGAATGTCCCTGGGTATATCTACCTGTGCTTATGGCTATCAATAAATGAGACTCTTAAAAGGGGATAGACGGGCACTCTTGTTTATAGCCAAGGGAAGTGGGGAAGGGTTGACCTGTGGTACCATGCCTGACTGAAAGGGGGTGACCTCCATGCCATCACACAGACCATCAAATTGTTCACTCTGCTTATATGTTAGATCCTTCCCCCAAAGTCTTTGTCTGTCTGGTCTATTTAGACTGCAAACTCTTCTGGGTTAGAGACCATTATTCTACATTCAGGGCCTAGCACAATGGAATCTTGATCTGTTAAGCTCCCCTCCCTAGGTGCTATCGTAATACAAATAATTAACTGTTAATAATTAACAACAACTTCATTGGAACATAGGGACAGATTATTATTTTTATATAAAAATGCAGCATGTATGGAAAGTGGTGGCTCTCCTGCATTGGTGTTTGATTTCCCCATAGAGATCCATGTCCCTGCACACCTTCTCTCCTCCTCTTCCTCCCTCCACACACACATTCATAGTCTTGGATTAAGGAGGATTACTGAAGTAACTGAAAGAATTAGAGTGGTTGGGGGACATTCTCACTTTAACACACACAGAACCTGGAGGGAGCATATTAAGGTGGGTTTTTTTGTTTGTTTGTTTGTTTTATGACCATTTATAAGAGAATCCTCAGATAATACATTTTGGGTATCATCATGTATTTTACATATGCACCAAATACATGAGGAGAAACAGATGCTCAAACTCAGCTTTTCTTTCAGCTTTATCTAAGGTTTTGGGTTTTTTTCCTTTGGCTTTCTCATCGACCAGAATTTTTCCTCTTTCCCTACCATGTGTAGGATCCAGCTTATAGATGCCCTCAGAACCAAACTGAGACACACTGATGCTGACTCAAAGTAAGGTGTTTTTTTGTGTGCAGTGGGTGGGTGGGGAGGTGGGCCTGACACTCCAGAGTAGAGAGATTGTCAAACTACCTCAGTCACTTTTAATACGCTTTTCCCTTTCTGTTTGTAGCACAGTTCCACTGGGTAGCTAGAAAGTGGTACTAAGGGACGCTGTCTGAGCAATTGGCTTGGACACCCTTCCTTCCCATTCTAGGAATTAAAAATGCTCCACCTCCATAATGCCTTTACCGCTAGCCTGAAGGCAAAAGTTCTAGTTTACTTTTTAACCTAGATTTTCTTTTGCATGATGCTGCTACTATCACCTTGATGCCTAGCAAGTTGTGTACCTTTCGCTCAGTGCTAGAACTGTTGAAAATTAAATCCCGATGATCTGATGAGGGTGCATAGAGAATATTTAATTGATTTCTTGAACTGTATTTAGCATAATATACCTAGGGAATAAATGTATACTTTTTCAAGTGCTAAAAGCACATTATGCTTTTAATGATGCTAAAGGAACAGTCTTTCCCTAATCCAAATCATTATGGTTAAAATGTTCATAGTGTTAATTTATGGTTTGGTAATTTAATTATTTGTTCCATCGTTAGGTTGATCTTGGAAACTATAAAACACATCATAATGCTTAGTACTGCAATACTTGAATCTCAGCAGGCAAGTATCCTTGGTATTACTAATTATTAAATCATTTTCAGACTTTAGTGGGTTGCCAAAATAATTTTTTTTTTTTCTTTCTATTTTTTAAATGTAGTTCTGAAAGGTGGTCTGATTTCTTTTAGGAGAAAACGCTAATTTGTCTATACTGTTGACATCTTAGGTTTGAGGTTTATGTTGATATTGAACCTATTATGATTGGGATAATAGATGCTGTAGATTTATGTTTGGGACTGTCTATCTGCTGGAAATTAATCTATAGCAATTTAATTGACAGCTATAGAGCGGAAGGGACATTAGCCAGAGGCATATAACTGCTGTGAGGAGCCTGAAACATGATGCATTTAAATCTACTCTAGAAAGGGAAGTTGTTTTTATTTTGCAAGGCATTGTGTGTTCCACATTTACAGTTTTGATCTAGTCTATATCAAATTTAGTCTACAATTAAAAAGACTGCTAGTCGTGGATTCACAGACTTTAAGACCAGAATGGATAACTGATCTATCTAGTCTAACCTGCATAATACAGATCATAGAATTTCACCCAATAATTCCTGCTATAGTCCCAATAATTTGTTGTTGAACTAGAGCATATCATTTAGAAAGACATTCAGTCATTATTTAAAGACTGCAAGTTTTCCAGACAGGTCATTCATGGAGCTCTTTTCTGAAACCTCAAATTTTAAAACATCTTTCTCAGTGTTTGGACACCAAAGCTGAACGCAGTATTCCAGTAGTTGCTTCGTCGGTGCCTTTTTATAGAGCTAGTATTGCATGCCTACTTTTACTTGAGATTTCCATGTTTATACATCCAAGAATCAGGCTAGCTCTTCTAGCTACAGCTTTACATAGGGGGTTCAGCTGGCTTTCTACCATGTCCCCTTATTCTTTTTCATAATTGCTGCTTTCCAGGATAATTCCTTGTCCTGTAAGTGTGACCAGCATACCTAGATATATAACTTTGCAACTGGCTGTATTAAAGTGCATATCATTTGACTGCATCCAATTTACCAAGTGATCCAGATTGCTCGGAGTAAATAATCTGTTTGTTTTTTACATTATTCACCACTCCACCAATCTTTGTGTCATCTGCAAATATTAATCAAATATTGAAGAGCATTGGGCCAAGAACCCTCCAGACCCTCACTAGAAAACACTCATTAATGGAGAATCCTCAAGAATTACATTTTTGAGATCTGTCCACGGGTTTTTAGTCCATGTGCCTTACTGACTTTGTATAGTGCTATTTATTTTAATCCGAGTATGGTGTAGTAGTAAGTCAAATGCAAAACTGATCTTAAGATCCGAAAGTCAAGCTGGATTTTTCCTGGTTCAGGTATCATCACCTTCAACAAATATTCTGCAAGCCAAATTGTGCCCTCAGTTACAACTGTACAGGTCTGTTGTCCTAAGTGATCTTGTACATGTGTAATGAAGAGCAGAATTTGAAAACAGAGGGAATGCACAAGTGGTCTTGCATTTGGAACTTAATGATACACAAACCAAAAAACCATAGTTCTCATTGACAGTAATAAAATTATTTTAGTGAAAAAGTCATTTTTAAAATAAACAGGTGACTGAATATATAAAGAGAAAGTCTGCTCAGTAAAGTCCCTTTTTACACAGAACTGCACTTTACCTCATATTGTTCTATTTAATTTATTTTGTGTATAGGATTAGTACCTATTAAACAGTACTACAGATTGACAATATATTAATATCAATATGTCAAACCCTTTTTCTTTAACACAGCAAGCACGTGAGTTGGAAGAAAAACTGAATGAGATTAAAAAAAGGAGATTCGGTAAGTGTATATAACTTGCTAGCAAGCATATATTGTCTTGCTACCTTCTGTATCTTTCAGATTGTAAGCTCAAACTTTTGTGACAAGCTTTAAAAAGTGTCTGCTGACAACTACATTATCTTGTATTACTGTAAAGCTCTGGTCTAGATGTAAAACTTTCTAAAAAATTAAGTATGATGTGTACATGAAAGTGAGCTGGTATGTTGAATGTCTGCAGGCAAACAGGACAGGTACTATGGTTTAGAAAAAGAGACTGGAGAACTTCAAAAGAATGCAGTCTCATTCCACTGTTTCCTACTAAACCTCATTTAGAGTCCTTTAGTACAACAAACCCCTATCTTACAATCCCTCTTCACATACCATTTTATCATACTGTAACTTTGTGTAATGTTTTGGTGGAAAAGTCTGATTCATAAAGATCTCTTCGTAAAGAATAATATTTTGGGGGAAGGGAATGGTTGTAACATGCCTACATGACTTGGCCAGGGATTGGATTTGGATTCTTTAAAACCATTCTTCAAAACTAAATTACTATATTATATGCAGACCTTTAGAAATATCGTACCAGCCTTTTGAATGGCATAGTTTGTTTTGTCAGTAGTTTTAACTATCAGCTTTGTTCTTTTACTGTCAATTTGACATAGGGAAAGTGCATGTCTGTGTTTAGAAATCCAGGGCACCCAAACTTTTCTTCGAACAATCTCTTCACAGAATCATAAAAATTAGAAAGAGAGCAAAATATATTAGGTAAGATGGGACATCGTCTGTAAGTCCAGGAATTGTTTGCGGTATGTTTGCTCGGATTTTATCCAGTCTAGTTCTAATCTTTCATTTTCTGTGAATTGAATAGCACTAAAGCAAGCTGGAGAACACAAACTGCTACAGATACACACTCTGAAGAAAAAACAAAAAGAGGAACTAGAGGGTATGGAAGTAGGTGAAATGTTAAAGAGAATATGTAGAAACTTGCAAAAAGAAACACAGATGACTACGTTAATTCAAAATATCTTCCAGGTAACTTAATCTGTTGCTTTGAAAATAGGACAGATTTGTAAGTCTCATTTCTATCGTATCTCAACCAAACACAACTTATGAACTTTTGTAGGCATTCAGCTATTTTTTGGTGATGGATATTTACTTGAGAAAAATACTTTATAGAATCTCTAAAAATGTCTGATTAATTTACTCTTTTAAAATTGTAATTTTTATAACTGCAAACTAGCCTGTATGTAAATATCATGATTTTGGTACTTCAAATACTGAGAATCTTAAACTGTCTTAAACTATTTTTGAAATGATGTTTACCAGATTTTTATCCATTTGTTACACTGTTTAAGGTACTTAAAAGATATGATGGGTCTTCTAGTTGAATGTCCATTAAATCCCACTGGGGAATGAACATGGGATTGAAACCCTAGGGTGGAAGAAGGGATAGGAGCATGTTTTGAAGGTTTTGGATATTAAGAGGAGTGGGGCTGATGGCTGTATCATCACCTTCTGTAAAAATGAGTGGCACTGGGAAAAATTTAAAAGGAAGCTCCATACATTTCTGTGTTGAGTGATCATATGTTTACCAGAGGTTGGTGTGGATGTTAGCATTACATTAGTAACTCTATAGTTAAGTATGAGAAGGTACTTCCATTCTAAGGGACTGATCTAGAACCCACTGAAGTCAAGATAGAGAGTGCCATTGTCTTCAGTAGGCTTTGGATCAGGCCATAAGTAAGGCTAAGATTATGTTATGGAGGTTGTGGAAGTAATGGAATCTGTGACTTCCAGTGACCTCCGTGATAGTGGGGGCCCCACAGCTGACCAGTTGCTGCCAGCAGTGGGGGACCCTGCAGCAGCCCAAACTCCACAGGCAGCAGGGGACCCTCCCGCAACTGCCCAGCAGCTGCGGGTGATGGGACCCGCCGCAACTGACTGGCCAACACTGGCAGCAGCATCCCCTGAGCTACCCAGCTGGCACCGCTGGCAGGGTCCCCCCTGCAGTGGCTCAGCTGCCACAAGCAGCTGGGCACCCCCGCAGCTCCCAGCTGCTGCCACTGCCGGCGGCGGAGGGACCCCAGAGCTGTTCAGTGGCCCCACAGCTCCCCAGCCACTGCCACTGGCAGGACCTCCCTCCCCCCCCAGCCGCCATGAGCGGCCGTCCCCTGCCCCGCAGCTCCCAGCCGGCGGCGGCAGAGGGCACCCCGGAGCAGCTCAGTGCTGGCAGCCCCCGCCCCTCCCCCTGCAGCTTCCCAGCCCTGCAGGGCAGTGGGGGGACCCCTCCCCCCAGCGCCAGTCCTGCAGGGCAGTGGGGGGATCCCTCTCAGTTGTTGCCAGCAAGGGGAGAGGGGGATTAGGGTGCTGCAGCCTCCTCCCTCCCCATTTTGTCAGGGATGTTTTTAGTGAAAGTCAGGGACAGGTCACAGCTTCTGTGATTTGTTTATTGCCTGTGACCTGTCCCTGACTTTTACTGAAAAAAAATCAGTAGCCTTGACAAAATCGTAGCCTTTGCCATAAGTACCTGTTTTCTCTTGTTCTTTGAGTGGCTCTGCATATTCCCACCTTGTGGTGCCTTGCAGTAGCACCTACTAGCAGTGTTCGCTAGAGCCATGGTTCTTAACCTGGGGTTTGCAGACTGTGTCGAAGGGGTCCACTTAGACTGAAAACTGACTGAACATAATTCAATTATATATACAGACAATAGATTTCCAAAGGGGTCTGCACTGCCACTTGAAATGTTTTAGGGGTCCGCAAATGAAAAAAAGTTGAGAACCACTGAGCTAGAGCACTCTTTTGCTCCTTGACCCTCCCGTCAGCATCACTGATGTACTGAGGGCAAGGCTTTATAGGTGCAGAGCGTTCTCCCCACCTCAGTTCCTTCCAACTGCATGCCACAGTCTGATGTGAACCTCTTCGTTCTCGCCGGAGCATCTTTTCTCAATAGTTAGTATGAGTTGTTAGTTTAGTCAGTTAGTGATTCTTTTTCATTCCATGTTACGGTGGAACTAAAGAAACAGAAGAAGCTGGGATTTAAGGGGTTAGGGTTAGATCCAAGTGTGAACGCAAGGGACTTGTGTTCTAAGAGAAGGCCCATTTCCCCAACTCTGAGAGCCTCTTCCACATTCCCCATCAGGAAGAAGATACTAGAAGGCGTGGGAGGACCATTTCACAGATCCTCCCATTCTCCCTCTTCCAAAGACCACTGAGGTTCTCCACAAACAGCCAATTCCCCATATCTCCTGCTGGATCTGTTGTTGTCCCTGGTTCATTCTATCTCAGATCCAGACCCAGATTTTTATTGAGGGAGCTAGAAGAAGAATCCAGAGACTGACAGTGTGATTGGGACCTGCCTTTGGTCCTCCCCTGGCTGGCATATTCCCACATCCTAGTTGCTAGGGAGACTGGCAGCCCTGGGGCCTGTACTGGGGGCCACCTCAGGAATTTTTTCAGCTATTCTCCACATGGAGAGGTAATGTCTCATCTGCGAAGGATCCAGAAGCCCAGAGATACTTTGATCCGACTCTTCTGGATACACTGATGATTCAGGCAGTGATTCCTGAAGTTTTGTCCAAGGGAGAAGAGTAGGAGGAGGTAGACTCCACTCTCTTATCAGAAGCAGATGGACACGGATTATGAACCAAATCCATCACCTGACAAACATGTGGGGGTGGCTTCAGCCTCCTCTCCAGTTGAGGACGTTATGCAGTTCCACAATCTGGTGGACAACATGGTTTCCATCTTGAAACTACCTGTGGTATCTTTGGAAGAGACTTCCTGCCTGGTATGCAATATCTGTGGTGCTACAGCTAAGAGTAGGATATCCCTACCCATCATAGATGGACTGCTACAGTCAGCCAGATCCATTTGGTCCACTGCTACATCATCAGCCCAGCTCCAAAAAGCCAGATAAACTGTACCAGGTACCTTCTGAAGGTTTTTCTTACTTTCATGCCAATCCTGTATTCACTTCCCTGGTAACGTCAGCAATAGAGCAAGAACTGAGCAGAAGCACTCCATACCAGCTGATAAAGTCGTTAGGGAGAAAAGTGTTCTTCCTTGTCCCTCAGTATTAGGGTGATTAATTATCAAGTAACCATGGCCCATTACCAATTCCATTATTGGGTGGGGGGTGGGAAATGACTTTATTTTTATTTGACCTGCTGGATGACAGAAAAGGGTTGGCTAATGCCCTCTTAGTAGAGGGTCAAAATGTAGCTAAACTTTCCATTTGAGCTGCCTTTGATGTTTCAGGCTCTGTTGCAAGCGCATTGGTGTCTGCTGTGACCATTAGGAGGCATGCATGGCACCATTCCTCATCCTTAACTATAGACACTAGACTCAGAGTCAATATGAAAAAAGGCCTTTCAAACCAAGGTCTAAACCTAAACAATCCACTGCATCATCAGCATCCTCATCACGAAGCCTCAAGCCCCAGTTTTGACAAGATATGCAAGAGTCAAAAAACAGTCAACTAAGACCAATCTATCCTTTAATTTGGGAACAGACTAACCTATTTCATCAATGTATGAAGGCAAATTACCTAGGACAAAATCAGGGGTTGTCTAACTCATCATTAAAAGTTAATTTGACAGCCATCTCTATGTATTACACTCTAGCTGATGGTAGATTATTTGTTCATTGTTGGGTTAAAAGATTTATGAAACGTGTATTCCTCTGTTAGAGATCTTGCCCCTTCTTGGGACCCCAATTTGAGGTTGGCCATACTGGTAAAATCGCCCTTTGAACCTCTACCATTTATCTATGCCATTATGGTTAATCTACCTTTAACTTCTTTTCATAAGGACAAGGTAGTTCTCAGACCTGATCCCAGATTTTTACCTGAGGTAGTGTCTGATTTCGATATCAATTAGACCGTTACTTTGTTGTCTTCCCCCCAACGACACACTCGAATAAGGGGGAATCTGTCCTACACACTTTGGATGCCTGGAGAGCCCTCACCTATTATCTGGACAGGACTAAAAGTTTTTGTAAATCTTCTTCTAGATTGTCTTATGCCAAGAATCCCATGAGAGATTCAGTTTCTTCCCAGACTTTCTCGGTGGATTAAACAATGTATTGCTGAATGCTAGATGCTGGCAAAAGTTCCGGTACCTGCTGCTATTTGCCAGTTGCTGAAATTTGCAAAGCTGCAAGCTCAACTTCAGTTCACACTTGGCTTTTAGGGCAGATGCCAGATTTGGCAAAGTGGTGCTTCAGCCTCTCTTCAGCTAGGACTCTCTGTGCCTGGTTTTATTAGTCTGTCCTATAAATGGAAATGTGCAGAGCCAGACAAAGAAATAATGAAGGTTCTTCTTCAAGTGATTGCATATGTCCATTCCACTGTAGGTGTTTATGCGCTCCAGTGCACAGTTGTTGGAGAGATTTTACCCTTAGCAGTACCCGTCAGGGTGACCCAAGCACCTGCTGCTGTCTCATGCATGCTGAGCAGGCATAAAGGGCCAAGCTGTCACTGACCATCCTCAATTCCTTCCTACTGCTCATGACAGTTGTTGGAGCTCCCTATCCTTGCCTCTACAAGTCTTTAGTCAAAATCTGTAAATAGTACCTGTGTATAAGTAGATTAGAGTGGGGGGTTGGTTAGGTGTTTTTTTTTAAAAGTTGTTTGTTTTCTGTGGTTCCAGCACCTAGTTTGGATACTGAAGATATGCTGTACTCTCCGGGTTTCAAGCCTTGACACTCTTGTGATAAGGCAATGCCTAATAGTGACCCTCACCTCAGCTGTTGTAAGTGCTTGAGGGAGGCTCATGTGAGTGACAGGTGTGACATTTGTAAGGGCTTTAAGCCTCGTTCCATCTGCTGATGGCGTTGGTGCCATGTCCTCCATCTGAGTCATCTACCTCAGTTCGGATACCAAGCATCTCTGTGTCAGTACACATCACGTTTGCCTCTTACTATGCAATCTCTCAGCAACCTAGAGACTATGCTAAATTTGGATGAGTGGTCCACCCGTCCCTGTTCAAATAGACTCTAAATCCAACTCCAGATGGGACTCCTTTTGAGTCACCTACAGTGGAATGATCATGGGCAATCACTCAAACAAGAAAAAACTGTTACTAATCTTTCTGTAATTTGTTCTTTGAATTGTGTTGCACATATCCATTCCACAACCCACCCTCCGTCCCCTCTCTAATGGAGCTGATCTGGTAGGAAGGAACTGAGGGGGGTCGGGGTAGCTCAGCCCTTTATGCCTGGGCAGTGTGTGTGAGACAGCAGAGGGTGCTCAGGCCTGCCCATCAGGTACTGCTAAGGGTAAAAACTCTCCAGCTGTGCACTGGAGCACACAAACTCCTACAGTGGAACACCTCTCAAAGAAAAACAGTTACAGAAAGGTTAGTAACCATTTATTACTTGTAACCAGAGTTCAAGATGGCTCTGCATGTTCACCCTTCCCACCCAGCTTACCTCTCTGTTGGAGTCCTTGTTTCGTTCTGTCCCTCTGGCTTTATGGTGGAAGAAACTGAGGTGGGGAGGGAGCTCGGCCTCCTATATAGCCTCCTCAGTACATCAGTGACACTGGGGGGGGAGGGGGGAGGGGGAATGGGATGAGAATTCTCTAGCTAACACTGCTGGAAGGTTCTACCACAAGGCACGAGGAGTACTTGTGGCACCTTAGAGACTAACAGATTTATTTGGGCATAAGCTTTCATGGGCTAAAACCCACTTCATTGGATGCATGCAGTGGAAAATACAGCAGGAAGATAGATATATAGATATATGGAGAACATGAAAAAATGGGTGTTGCCATACCAACTCTAACAAGACTAATCAATTAAGGTGGGCTATTATCAGCAGGAGATAATAGCCGACCTTAATTGATTAGTCTTGTAAGGTGCCACAAGTACTCCTCGTTCTTTTTGCTGATACAGACTAACATGGCTACCACTCTGAAACCTGCTACCACAAGGTGGCGCAGTACCCCTAAGTGTGAATATACTGAGCTAGGTACAAGTTACATGTAAGTAACCTTCATTTTTGTAAGCACTTCAATATTTCTTGAGAGGAGATATCCTTTGGGTTGAAATTAATACTTCCTGTTCTCAGCACCAAAATCATATGCATGGTGTTAAAACAACACATTTTCTGTGTTTGGAGTTACTAAAACTAGAGATTTTTTTTCAGTTCATGTACTTTATGTACTGATTCAAACTTTAAAAAAAAAGGCAACAACTTGGGCAACTTCTTAATAAGTGACAATTAAAATAGTGCTTTAACATTTTAGGGGGGTTTTTTTAAACTGGTTTTTCTATGGCATTAACTTAATGATAACTGTCTTATTACAGGGCATCATTATTGGAAGTAAAGTCAACTGGGCAGAGGATCCAGTTTTGAAGGCAATTGTTCTACAGCTTGAGAAAAATGTGAACTGTATCTGAATAAGCCACAAGACTCTTTTTTTAAAGCTATAGTTTTTATATAATATGCACCAATAAACCGGAGTTCAACTAGACTGACACAAATAATGGTAACAATAGCAAGACAACTTAAGAGACTTTGAAAACAGGACCTTTCTACAAGTGCATTTCCTCTGCTATGGTGATTCAGATGTGCAATTACACAGTGCAAAACTGAATCATTATTTTAAGGACTTAGATTGTAACATTACAGTCTGACCTGAGGTAAGTGCATAGTTGCTCAATCCCAGGAGCTGTCCAGGGAAAGAACTGCAGCTGTCTAAGTCCTGTCTACCTCCACACCAAGGAGCACAATGATCTGCTACTGGCTGGCATATTGAAGGGTGGAAACAAGACTCTGCTTTCTTCCCCCATCTTCCTGCCTGGGAGTGGGAGTAGCAGTCCCCCTGATGCTGTTCCTCACTGAAGTGTGACTCTCACTGTGGGATAGCCTGTGCAGGAGAGTAAGGCAGCATCTCACTCCCCTTATTCCTCTGCATCCTTTTCCTAAGGACATGTCCCAGTACTGCACATTGTGAAAATAGTAATCGTACAAAGGTTGTGTAGTCATTTACAAAGGCTACCATTGATAACCAATGTAGCACTTTGGCCAAAAGTGTTATGTATGATTTAAAACTTCTTTAAAAGTTGAGCTCATTTTATTTTGTATGCCTTCAAAAGACTAAATGATGATCAAAACCAATTCATCTGTGCTGTATCTGCTACTGCAGCTCTCTAACACCAGCTTCAATAAAAATTGTCTGTCCTGAATCACAACAGCCAATATAGAGAAAATGGGGGTTGTGCAGAAGGCATGTGGGATTTTTATATAGGCCAGGACCTGAGTTTCTATACAATTGAACTTAGTTTTAACTTCATTCTTTACAATTTGACAGATTTGTATCTGGACTTCATTCCACACTTAAATTTTCTTTAAGTAAAAAGTAACATTTTGGATAGGGGAAATGCATTTAGTTAAATAAAAATGCAGGTAACAAAGCCAAAGGTGATCTGAAGTTGGGGACAAAACTCTTAAGATGAGAATGTGACTTCTGTTTTTGTTAAGCTTCAAAATGCAAAAATAGATTAAACTATATACTGTAGTTTAAAGTCTTTCTTAGTAATAACCTCAATAAAATGACTTGTGCTGACTGCTTCCCTTTGTCTTCTCATGAATCTTGGAGTTCTTCAGAATTGGTGATAATATAGAAAATGGTCTGTATTTTTGAATGTTCCCATGTGAAGTAATAGGTATGGAAGACTTGGCGCTATTTTAGAGCTTACTGACTTCCTTCTGTCCTTGCTTCTGTTGACTCAGACAGGCATGTTAGTTTATATATAAGTGACTGCTGACAGAAAATTCAGTATCTTTCATTGTTACAGTTGTGTTGGTCCCAAGATATGAGAGAGAAAAGGTAAGTGAGGAGATGTCTTTTCTTGGACCAGTGTCTTCTGGTGAAAGATCCCAGACCTGAAAAAGAGCTCAGTGTAGCTCGAAAGCCTATACCTTCCACCAACAGAAGCTGGTCCAGTAAAAAAAATATATATTACCTCAGTCACCAACCTTGTTTCTGTTGAGAGAAAAGGCTGTTTACCAGTGTGGCTTATGGTCCTTTATTCTCCCATCACCTCCAGTCTTTCTCCCCTCTATCCCACACCTGTATCCTTGTTCATGCCTCTGGTATACACAGGTGTTCACTTCTTTTTGAAGTACTAGCATGCCTGTGCACTCTAAATTGGTATCTGCCTCCTCTGATTCAGCCCCTTCAAAGAGCACTATTGCAGAGCAGGGACAGCAGCAACATTCTCACCCTGCAAGAGCAAGGCCACCTTAGAGTGAAAACAGTTGTCAGTGGTAATAGCCTCCTTAAATCAGAGAGAAAATGCAGCTGTCACCATTTGTGGCAACAGGGCACCCTTCTTTGAAAGAAAGTATAGTACCCTACTGCTGGTTAGGGCCTGTGAAAGGAAACTGGCCCAATGCTCACGGCAATAAGGCTTCACTTCTCTCAGCCCTCTGGAAGCGACTGCTTCACAGAAGAAGAAGAAGCCATAAACGCTCTAGCCATAGGCTCCTCTGGAAGAAATGCACAAGCCTTGTCATAAGAGGGAAGTGTTAACTAAGTTAAATCTGTCAAGCATAAGATAAATTCTTCGAGTGATTGCTCATGTGTATTCCACAATAGGTGTGCGTGCTCGCCATGTGCACCAGTGTCGGAAGTTTTTCCCCTAGCAGTACCTGTGGGGGAGCGCCCCTAGTAACCTCTGGAGTGGCACCTCCATGGCACGGTGTAAGGGGCGCTGTGCGCTCCCCCCACCCTCAGTTCCTTCTTGCCGCCAGTGAAGGTGCTTCGGAACTGCTTTGCTCCAGCTTTGCTGTAGCTTGTCCCAGAACTCTTGTTCGTTCAGTGTATGTGACCTCTAGTTAGTACTCGATTAGGTTTAGTTTAGTTTAGCTAGTGCGCCCGGGCTGGGGCATGCCCTGCATCCCGGGTTTTAAGTCGTGTGACACTTGTAGGTGCCTGATGCCAGTGAGTGATCTGCATACGGAATGTTTATGCTGTTTGGGTGAAACTCATCTCCGCGATCGCTGTAAGATTTGCAAGTCATTTAAGCCTCGGACCGAGAGAGAGAGACATTAGGCTCCGGGCTATCATGGAGTTGGCGTTGACCCCAACTGAGGCGCGCTGCTCCGAGTCGGCACCGGGCACCACGATGTTGGTGCGCGGCGACCCCTCGGCGCCAGCTACTAATTAGCATGCCCCATGGACAGGGAGCGGTGCCAAGAAGAGGCCTTCTCCACCGCAGCACTGGAGTAAATCTGGGGCAGAGCTAGACCCGTGTTGGGCAGTCCTCGATCCCCATCGGCCTCTAGGCCTCCGACTCGGTGGTAGCGGCCTACCTCAGGCGCCGGGGGGTCCAGATCTTCCCCTCACTGGACGACTGGCTGGTCAAGGGCAGCTCCCGGTTGCAGGTGCAGGATCACGTGGCGCTCCTTCTGTCCATGTGCGCCACTTTGGGCCTGTTGGTAAATGACACCAAGTCCACGTTAGTCGCGGTACAACGCATAGAGTTAATCGGGGTGGTCCTGGAAGCCACGTCGGCCAGAGCCTCCCTCCCTCAGGACAGGTTCGAGACCCTGAAAGGGCTCATAGACACGGTCACAAGGTTTCCATTGACAACAGCCAGAGCGTGCCTCCAACTCTTGGGTCACATGTCTGCATGCACGTATGTGATCCACCATGCCAAACTCAGGATGCAGCCCCTCCAGCTGTGGTTGGCCATGGCGTTCTCCCAGGCCAGAGACAGAATGGATAAAGTCCTCACTGTGCCTGAACCGGTGATCACCTCCCTATGATGGTGGTCCTCCCCAGGGAACATACTACACGGGGTCCCGTTCAGAGGCAGGCCCCCGTCAATGGAACTGGTGTCTGATGCATCAGATCTGGGGTGGGGAGCCCATGTGGGGGACCTTCAGACCCAAGGTCTGTGGTCTGCACAGGACCTGGCCCTCCACATAAACATCAAGGAGCTCCACATCCCGCCCTCCTTCCCCTCTGTCGGAGTTGTCTGGTGAGAAGGAACTGAGGGTGGGGGGAGCGCACAGCACCCCTTATACCGCACCATGGAGGCGCCACTCCAAGGGTTGCTAGGGGCGCTCCCCTACGTGTACTGTTAGGGGAAAAACTTCCAACACTGGTGCACGTGGCGAGCATGCACACCTATTGTGGAATACACATGAGCAACACATCTTGAAGAACACCAGTTATGGAAAAGGTAACTGTCTCTTTCTGTTCTTCATGTTACTAAGGTACATGGCTAAAATTAAAATTCAACTAAGCATTTTTTTTACCCTTATGAGCACTGCACTGATTATCACCTCCCTTTTAATAGTAGCAGGTGTGAAAAGTGGTAAAGCTCCAGGATCTGATGGCTTTCCAGCTGAATTTTAGGAGGTAATAGTGGGTCCCTTGAGAGGAACCTTCAATACCATTCTATTAGGGGAGGAACTTCCACAACCTATGAAAGAAGCTACTGTGGTGGTTCTCCCTAACGCTGGAAAAGATCCTATCGTTATGCAGCTCCTGTTGACCCGTATCACTGCTGCATCATGACAAAAATTTTAGGAAAATTACTAATTAGCCAATTGCAATCAGTGTTCTCACCTTATATAAATCCAGATCAGACTGGATTTATTAAGGATAGACACATGTCAGACAACATTCAGAAAGTACTTGCAATCATCCATAATGCCAGAACAAAAAGAAATCTTTTGTTATGACTTGATGCAGAGAAAGCCTTTGATCGAATGGCGTGGAACTTTGTTTCAAGTCCTGTCCTACATGGACATTGGTCTCAGTTCCTTAAATGGATAACTGCTCTTTACACCACCCCAAAAGCAGCTGAGAGTTAATCGGGTTAAGTCTCCCCTATTTGAATTACACAGAAGGACTAGGCCCGCTGTTTCCTTTACTTTTTGCACTGGTGCTAAGGAACAGTTAATTTGTCATAAGAATAAAACTTGGACAGGAACACATCAGAAAATAGCTTCATATGCAGATGATGTAATATTTTTATCTAAGCCAAATATTTCCCTCAAATTAGTTTCTAAAGAAATCCAGGAACTTGGGGAAGTGTCTGGATTTAAAATACATTATACCAAATCTGAAATGCTAGCTATAAGTTTTCCAGACTCTGAAAAGTCACTCTTCCTGAAAATATCTGGGTTCAAATAGGTAACAGATTCTATAAGATACTTGGGAATTCAAATCTCAAACAAACTATAAAAGCTCTATGATTTAAATATCAAACCATGACTTCAGTAAATTAAAACAGTTCTGTATTGCTGGGGAAAGTCTGCAATTTCTTGGTTGGGAAGAATTGCTGCAGTCAAAATGAACATTTTGCTAAGTATCTTGTTTCAAAATCTTCCTGTAATCATCTCAGGTAAAACCCTAGCAGGAATACAGAGCATGTTAGAATGTATATGGAATAAGAGAAGACCAAGAGTAAGTGCAGATGGACTCGCTATTCCAAATCTCCTATGGTACTATGAAAGCCAGCTAGCTCAAAGCAGTAGTGGATTGGCACTCTAACACTGCCAAAGACTGGGTCTTTATTGAACAAAGAAGTTGTGCCAGTGTAAACCTCACTAGGCTACCATGGATTAATTTAAAAAAAAAAACCCACCCTCCAGAAATTTATACACATCTTTTGGCAAAAACTCTATGGTTTTGATATATTACATCTTGTCTCTTGTTTTTTTTCCTTCCCCATGCCACTTTTAAATAATCCAGATCTTAACCAAGTGACAAACTAGAGCATTTTAAAGATTCAAAGAGCCATAGAATACATATGGTTGGCCAGCTCTTCAGTAAAGAAACTTTTCTAACCTAGTTAGAGATCAAAATTAACTGGCCCACTCTTTTGTAGCACCAGTACTTTTGAGAGACATAATGCCTGACTCAACTTTCTAGCAAAAAATTGTATACAGAAAGATAACTTTAACAGAAGTGATGGCATTATAACTTATTTGGCATATACAGTCTGGTCAAGCCAAGCTACACAGTGTTCTTATCAATTATTTATATATTGAATTGATAATCTTTACAACTTTTCTAACAAAAGTCCACATATGACACTGGGAAAAGGACCTGTATAGACAAATTACTCCAGAGGCATGGAAAAGAGAGCCAGCAACCTTAGTTTGTAGCACAATAAAATACACTTTATTTAAGATACTGTTTCAATGGTACCTCTCACCAGTCATGTTAAAATGTAGAGAGAGATTGAATAGGGATAACTGTTGGAGAAATTGTGGTAAAAGAGGAGATTTTATGCATATATGGTGGACTTGTCCAGTCATTGGAGAGCAACAGGATGCAATCTGTAACCAACTACCACTATTTGGTGGATATATTACCAAATGATCCTTTGGTAAACTTCCTAGGGCTTCCTACTGGAAATGATCACACAAAAGGAAATGAATTGATCTTTTATTTGCTAGTAGCTGCTCAGCTACTGATAAGTATCAGGGGGTAGCCGTGTTAGTCAGCTACTGATAGCATCTCATTGCAAAAAGAAAAATAGTCCAACTATAGAGGAATGGTTCAAAAATATGGGAGATTGTGGCTATGGAAATATTAACATGCCAATTATGTACCCAGCAAAATATGGTCACCTTAACTCTGCTAGACTAACAAGCATTCTACTACCAGATAGCCTCTCCCTGTGTAAGCACATGATAACATCACCTCTTAGCCTTCTAATAATACTTCTGACAAGGAAGCCAAGCTTGCTGGGATAGAAAGTTCACAACTCCTTGGAGCAGTGTATTTAAACACCTAGGTCAGGTCTAATAGGGAATGTACAGCCATCAGTGCTGGAAGTAGGGGTTTTGGGAGGTGGGGGTGCTGTAGCACCCCCTGGTTTGAAGTGGTTCTGTCATATACAGGGTTTACAGTTTGGTTCAATGGCACTCAGCAGCCCCACTGTACAAATTGTTCCAGCATCTCTGTGTACAGCATAAGATTGTACTCAGCGTAGTATTTTGCTTGCTAACCGAACGAACACAGCCATAAATATTGTGTATGTGGCTGCCACAATTGTAGAAGAAAGACAGGACAACGCTGGCCTCAGAGAGCTACCAATGCCCAGAAGGCGGCAGAGCCCCGCCCTCCAGGAGGCTCTGGCCCGGCCCCCGCAGAACTCCTGACTCCAGCCCCGCCCTCCAGGCAGTTCCAGCTTAGCCCCGCCCCCTGCCGTGTCCCCGCCCCTCGCGCCGGCGCCGTGCTCGCGGACTGGAGGATGCAGTAACTGGCTGCGGGTCACCATGGGCAGCAAGATGGCGGCCGCCAGCAGGGTCGTTCAGGTAACTAGAGTTGTTTCCTCGCGAAGGGGGCGGGCCCGGAGCTCTGCGTTCGGCCGCCCGGGGGAGGCTAGTGGGGTCTGCCCACCTCCGCCGGCGGCTGGAGACGCCGGAGCAGAGCGAGAGCGGCCGGGGCTGATGCCCTTGGCCTGGAGGTGCCGTTGGGGAGCCGGGGCGCTGGCGGGGGCTCTGGGCAGTGGCGGGCCGAAGTGCTTCTGGACCCGAGTTCGGAGAAGGGGCGAGCGGGTCTGAGCTGCGGGGACACTGCGGGAGGGACGCGAGTGAGGCCGGGCGCGCGCTGGGGGTGAGTGACAGCAGTGGGGGCCTCACCTGCCCGGGGGCGGGGACTCTTCCGCGCAGCGGCGGGAGGGAGTCGGGACGGAACTGAACCCGGACTGCCGCCGCCCATGGGCTCATCCTGGCTTCCATGGGTGATACTCACTTGCCGTGCAGTGGCTACAGCCAGGCTCCCTTCAGAGCTGCTGCCGCCCCACGCGCGGGCCTTGTCGTGTCCCCACAGCCCGGCAATGCGTTAAGGTGCAAGGCCCGAGGCTCTGCTCGCACGACCCGTCGTTTCGTTCTCGGTGCATGGAAGCGCGCAGGGCTCGCACAGCAGCCCCTGGGGGGCTCGCACGGGTGCGGTACGTGGAGATGCCGGCGGCGCCTCATCACCCTGGGAGAGCTTCCTCGAGAGACTCGGAGGAGCTGGTGGAGAGAGGGCGCAGAACCGAGAGAGGGAATAAATCTTCGCTGCTCTTTCTTCAAGAGCCTCTATTCCAATTCTTTCCGTTCTGGTTTAGCTATGTGGGCAACAGCCTGCTCTAATTGTCTTCAGCTTCTGCCTTAAGGGACACCAGCTTGCAAATCACACGTCTGTTAAAAATAAGCACCTGTTATTAGTACAAGTAACCGTTAAGATACATGAAAGAGATTTGAGAAAAAAAAAATTCTGTTTTTTCCAGTCTTGTTTCCTTTGTGCCTTTGACAGCACTTGATGTGTAGTAGAATTTGCTTTTCTGCTTCATGGACCAAGCAAGTAGGGGCTCTCCAATGTCTTGATGTCCTCACATCCCTTTCTTCCCTATCCCTGTTGACTAGTCACCTGGTCTGTTGGACCCAGTGCTCAATTGCCTGCTTCTCTTGTGGTATTATTCCTACTGCTATAGGGATGCCAGCAAATTGCCTATCTTGCAGTAGCCCTCATGAGAAGGAGATTATGCACCCTCAAAATGTCACCTTCCCATAAATGCTTATTTGCAACTCAAAAATTGCTGTTCTTAGGAATGAGGGAAAGCCCTTTTTTAAAAAATTATTTTAAAGAAATAAACTTTTTGAAAAATCAATGCAAAAATATTTTAATGCAGATGGGGGTTGAACTCCACACCTACTAATGTATAACTGTTTACTTCTGAGACTAGTTAACTCTGTCCCTCCATCTGAGCTAATGTGAAAAGGCAGAAGGGAGCCAAAGGTCCCATGATCATAGCACAAAAACATTAGAATCCAATTTATACTGCAGTTATAGTTACTCCTCTATAAGCCATAGTTAGTTGTGTGGAAACTAAAAAAGCATTGCATTTGCTTTACAGTCTAGTACAACTTTGAATCTGAAATGTCACTTGGACAGTCTTAGCCTTGATTAAAAAATAAAATTTAAATTATTGTAAATCTCCCAAATCTGGTGTTAATGAAAGCACAAAGCAACAGGGTCAAAATAATTGCTTAGTGTGTAGCATTCTTGCCATGAAAATCTCATGAACTTTTACATTTTATTTACCCAAACTTTCTCTCCCCCGCCTTCCCCTTCCCCTGCCTCCTTCCACTGCTGTGTCTTGTTTTAGGTAGTCAAGCCACATACACCCTTAATCAAGTTCCCGGACAGAAAAAATAGTCCCAAACCTAAAAGTAAGTATTTCATTTGTAAATAAAACTTCTACCATATCATACTTATTTGCCTTAATATTTACATAAGGACCATGACACATTGTTTCTTTTTGACTTATATGGCTCAGTTATTTCTGAGCATTGACCTAGTTTGGTGGCAGCTGCCTGATTTTACGCTTTAGAAAACAGACCATACTTAATGCATAAAACTGAGATTACCTTATTTCCTCTATTGCTCAGGCAGAGTTTTGAGGATCTCCATTTTTATCCTCCTACTTTAATCTTATACTATGAGCTCATTTTGCAAACACTAATCTCCATTTATGAGAGGCTGTGCTAAATTCACTTTTAAGCAGCATGAGTTTTCAATGAAGTTTCCTTGCTTTGTCTGACGTATTTAAAATCCTGATGGTACCTGGGAGGGCAGTTTACTCCCACTGTGCATACGGGAAAAAAGTTGTTATATTTAAAAAAAACAGTACTCAATCTGACTTTACTGTATATCTGTATATTACTACATTGATGCTTACAGGATACCAATCACCGTCATATGTAGACATCAAAGTTGTCATATTGCTCCTTTAAAATGGGATTGTGTATTGTTATGACTAACATTCCTCTTGACTCAATAAAGTATTTGAAACAAAGATAGGAGATGTTTTTATGAAATTCTGGCCCAATACTTCACTTTTTGTCTGGAGGCTGTGATAATTCCTGGTTCATTCCTCTTTTAATTCAGTACCTGTTCTTAAATATTGGAGTCAAACCTGTTCAGCGCATCTAAAATTAAAGGATCCCTTCCTGTTGATGTCCCAGAGCTCACCTACTCATTTTAAGGTTTTTCACTGGTGGTGGTAGAGGTAGATATAATGAACATTACAATACTATAGAATTTTGAAAAATGAGAACTTTAATTCTTGGAATCTAATGCTTCAACCCTCGTGTTGGAAGCACTCCATAAAAATATTTTTATTTAAAAAAATAAATAAATCTGGTGACTGTACAAGAGATTGATCTTCAGTTGATGGCCTTCCTGCAAAATATAGTTGGAAGCCACTTTAATTATGCAGCTGCATTTTTGTCACCTGTATTACTTTGAACTGATTTACATTTTTTACTTTAGTAGTACTACATATTTGCTAATAAACTAGCCTTTCTCTTGAGTTCGAATACCAGTTAAATCACAATTGAGACTTGAGAGTTTAGTTTTCCTGTTAATGCCACAAAATATCTATTGGTTCGCTTGATTGGTGGTTTTGACCTGAGTTTGAATTTCCATTGAATACTTTTGTTAAAAAATGAAGTATATTGACAGAATTCTGTGCAGTGTTTTGGTCAGTGTTTGCCCACACCATCTAATTTGTATCCAGTTCCAACACCCATAGACTCATAGACTTTAAGGTCGGAAGGGACCATTATGATCATCTAGTCTGACCTCCTGCACAACGCAGGCCACAGAATCTCACTTACCCACTCCTGTAACAAACCCCTAACCTATGCCTGAGTTATTGAAGTCCTCAAATCGTGGTTTAAAGATTCTCAAGGTGCAGAGAATCCTCCAGCAAGTGACCCGTGCCCCACGCTGCAGAGGAAGGCGAAAAACCTCCAGGGCCTCTGCCAATCAGCCCTGGAGGAAAATTCCTTCCCGACCCCAAATATGGCGATCAGTTAAACCATGAGCATGTGGGCAAGACTCACCAGCCAGCACCCAGGAAAGAATTCTCAGATCCCACCCCATCTAACATCCCATCACAGACCATTGGGCATATTTACCTGCTAATAATCAAAGATCAATTAATTGCCAAAATTAGGCTATCCCATCATACCATGCCTTCTACTCTATTGAAAATCTTTTTCAATGATTGAATAAACAACTAATTTCTCATCTATTATTCTTCTAAATCTGATGTGCAAGTTCTGATTAGAGCTGGCTGAAACTCACAATTTTTGATTCATGAGAAATTTCAGCTTTTCAGAAGTTGGGGTTTGTTCTCATCATAACCAAACCAAATTTGTTGAAATATTTCAACAAATCCAAAATTTCAATTTGGAGACACTGAAACATGGTATTTGTGGAATGAAATATGGGAAACTAATCAGAATGCTGTTCACTGAATGTCAGTTTCATTAAGCCCCTGCTGGGATTCCCAGGGTCTGCGGTCCAGCATGACTCTTCAGCTTCCCTGGAAAATTTTGGACTAGCTTTGGTTGTGACTTTTCTTTCTTTTGTGTGTGTGTGTATAGATAGATATAGACCTTCCTACCTTGATCCATGCCTTTGTCACCTCAAGACTGTTCTGTATACTTTCAATCCATTCATCCTGTAGTGATTTAGAATATGATAGCCTGTATTTTACCATCACATGATACTTTTGTGGTTGGCTGTATACTTGACTGGTTGGCATTGAGGGCTCTGTTCCTGGTTCCCTCAGTCTCTGGGAAGCTTTACCTATACTGAGGGTATCAAGTATAGTTTCTTCACTGTCAACTCCTAAATATGTCTCCCTGCTGCTGCTGTCACCCACAGTGTTCGGTCCCACATCTCTTGCTCAATATCCTTGAATCAGATGAAACTCCACATGGCTAAAATTGAAAAACTAATCTTCCTCTGCTTCTTATTCTGACCTTATCAGCAACTTCATCATCTATCTGGTCGCCTGGGTTGGCAAGCATAGTGTCACATTTGACTCCTTGTACATTTTGACTCATTTAGGATTGCTAAATCCCATTACTGCTTATTCTGCAACTATCTTATCACTGCTGCTTAAATGTTGGTCTACTGCAGCCTCCTCATCTCTGGCTTCCTTGACTTTTGCATTTCATTCACTCTAGTCCACAAATTGAGGCTGGGGGGTGTAATAGGATGGGAAATGTTGCTCCCATGGGACTTGAGACTTCAATTAGGAATCTTTACTTCCACAGGATATTATAATTTTATAGTCTACTGTGTTGTCAAGTCTAAATCATTTATGCTTATCGTTCTTTTTTTTGTCCAGAGGGATGAATGCTATATAAATATAAACACATTGCCACTAGAATAATTCATTATTGGCTGTTTTGACCATCTAGTCCTCATCATCAAGTTCTTGCATTGCCGTGCAATGCTGACTTATAGCACGTTCAAAATCTTCCATCCTTGCAGCTTCAAGGCCCTTCTGACACCTAGTTTCCTACTCCCCAGCTCATGACCCAAGTGTTTACAAACAAAACATTAAAAATGGGTATAATACAAACCACATTTTGTAATATTTCACAGTTACAACCTTTATCCTCCCATAGACCTGTCCCTTTGTCTGTGGACAACTTGTATTGTAAACTACTTGAGTAGAAATATAATGACCAAACCTTAAAGAATCCCACACACTTATGGCATTGTATAAATACAAATACACTGTGAGGCACTGTATGTTCTTAATCTGCAGTTATAGCTTCCCAATGTAAGTATTTGTAAAACTATGTACTGGTTTAGCTACCATTGCAACATCAGTACCTAGGTCCTATCCCTTTCTATCTGTGCTTCCTCCTACTCTCAAAATTTGACTATAGCAATGAGAACATTGATACATTAGTCCCTAAAATTGAAAATAAAAGTATATGGTGAGAAGGAAGGGATTTTAATTCATGCAAGTAGCTTTATAGTGAAAAATTCAACTGCACGACCAGTACCTTCTAACTTCTACTGATTGCACTAATGAATAACTATACTCAAGCCCGTTAAGGTATTAAAATATTCTCTGTACTTCTATACATGGTTTTGAAATCTGGGTTTCAGTGCAGGAATCTCTACAAGCAAGGGTACCACCACTTCATGCTTCAGCAGCACAGATGTCTGTAGGAGACAGACCACCAGCCCTTCAAAACATTTCATCCATTAGTAGAGTACAAGGCACACCAGACACGACAGAATTAGTAAAAACATTACCTCAAAAGTACAGGAGAAAGCTGATGTCAGATGAGGAGATGGAATACATTCAAGTAAGTTTTGTGTTACTACATATGTCCTCTGTCGTTATTCACTATGTTGAAAACTTTGCAAAACAACTTCTGGACAACATGATAAATATCCTTGCTTTTAAACTCTTGTTAACTTTGCACTTACATCGAGCGTTACAACTTAATTTGCAGTAAATACAAACTAAATATTCCTCAGCACACAAGTTGGGTAGATAAGGTATCCCTATTTGGCAGTTCGGGATACTGATAAACACAGAGAGACTGTGACTTGCCCACGGTCACGCAGAAAGCCAGTGACAAAATCAGGATTAGAATTTGTTTTGAAGTTCTAGACTACACTTAATCCATTAAACCATGTTGCTTCAATGTCATTACCTATTGTATTTACAATTGTAGAATGTGCAATAAATATAAATAAATATAATTTTAATAGAAATACAATGTACAAAGTGTTGATCCTTTCAATTATGAGTTTATTCACAGAGTGAAGAGGCTAAACAGGTAGCTTATGCCCAAAATATAGGTTGTGTTTAAGAATAAAAATTACAGACACAAATATTCATGATTTATTTCACTGAAAACAAATTGAGTTTAAATGCTCCCTTATAGTGTTTGCAAACTAATATTGCAGCATTATGCGAGTACATGAGAGGCAGAACATTTAATTGACTACAAAATGGCATTGTACCTGTAATTTGTTTAGTTTTGAGCATTTCATCACCAGATGGTGACAAATTGGGAGATTAGAGAAGAATATCAAAAATATTAAAGAGCTGGAGGGATGGGTTTGAGGCAAGACTAAAAGAACTAAATCTGTATAGCTTGATTAGGTGATGATTAAGTCCACAAGTATTCAAAGGATATAAACATTGATGACAGAGAGGAATTTTTACATAGGGTGGAAAGAGGGATATAACTAGGAGTAATGGAATTAAAGAAGGTGTGAAATTCAGCCTAAAAGTTTCCCAGCAATGAGAGGTATTAAGCTGTAAAAGTCTAGTGGGGAAACAGTGGAAACATCTGCTGAACACCTTAGATTATTAAAACAAAGAAAGTTTAAACAGGAAGCTTGCTTTTTACTGTCTTTTTTGCACTTTTGAACTTGGACAAAGAAAATAACTAGTCAGTTTCTTTTGCAGGCTTTTATTCACCAGTGTAATGCTGCAGTGTTAATTTTTACACTGACCTATATAAAAAGTCACATAAACGTTTCTCAGATTTTGTGAGTTTTTTTACATCATCTAAGACCAGTAGAAATTTTGTGTCCCTTCATAAAAGTAAGAAATAAAAAGTAGAATTCTTAAATGTGCAAATAACCCTGTATTGAAAACAGTACTTCCCTACTCAGTAACAAAGTGCAAACCAGCATGTCAGCTTCCCTTTCCTTTAGTAGAAGACATGTAATTGTCTGTTTTTCTTTTACAGCGTGGCGGTCCAGAATAATTACAGAAGATACTTGTTCACCACTGCTGAATGAATTACTGTATTCACATTAAAGGCCTTCCTCACTCTATGAATGTTATAAACAGTTTGTTAATAGCTTTAATAATGGCCCTGTATAAAGGGGTGAGAAAGTTGACACTTTAGACACTTGTCTTCTAATTTATGTTTCTGGGCCAGCTTTTCTGTTAAAGGCTGATTAAGGTAATTGTCTGAATCCCCTTTAGAAACCTACACTATTAAAATGTAACTTAAGCAATAAAATTTTCAAGAATATCTATTTTTGTAGCTGTTGTTGATCCACAAACAAAGGTCCAGATCTAGTGCGAAACCTCTCAAGCCCATAAGATGAGCATTGTAAAGTTCTTATAATAAAAAGTAGCAATCTTAATGTTCCTACTTTTCAACTTCAGACAGATATTATATAAAAATAAGCTTTGATTCTGGCATCCAGCTGCATGGTGGCTGCTTGCCCTGACAGTTTAAATGCTTCCTAGGGTGAGAACTGCATTAAGATAGAGGTTATCAGCTTATTCTTGGACTAACTTTAGTAATTAAAATTGTGTTTAGAATAGATCTTAAACTCATCTGCATACAGTTTGAGAAAACTACCATTCAGAACTGATTCTTGCTTTCCTGAGCTTTAGAGCTCAGGTATATCATGGGGCTGATGGGTTTGGCCTCAGGAAGAGAACTACAGGTAGCCTTTACTTCTCTTCGACAAATTAACCATAATCTGGGTACAAGGGAGACTAAAAAATTAACTTGAGTGCCACATCTGTTAAGTACTCCTTGTGCCTTGGGCAATTTTAATAGGTTAAACTACACCACTAGCCCAGTAAGGTGGAGAACTTCCCTTCAGTCCCTTGATGCCTACTAGTGCAGAAATCAGGCTTTTGTTTTATACCTTTTAACCTATTAAAAATGGACTTCAGTCCTTTCTTAGAAGATACAAAAACAGCGTGAGGGGCAGAGTTGCAAAGTTGCAGGCTCATGCTAGGGAAAGGGCTTGCCTCCTATCTTTTCAAGATTGTATCAGAGTATAGTTTTCAGGTTCAGTTGCCAACTTAGACTAGTGAGTGCTCTATCAGATTAACTGGTTCTGTATGTTTCACAGTAATTTTAAACACTAAAGCCTTGAAATGTAGTTGCTGACAAATAAGACCCATTTTCTTTATCGGCTCTCTTTGGGTAGCAAAAAAACGCCCAACAACTCACTACCAGTCTGTCTTACTACTTAAACTGTCACTGACAACACTGTTCAGGAAATAAAATATTCAGTTACAACCAGGTCTTAATGCATCTTCAAGTCCTCCTAGAGACCCATCTCTCCCAACTATCTCACAGAATTTTAAATGTATTGGTGAATTATGTACACTGTACAAGAATACTTTTTTTTGTCACAGTGATAATGGTAATATTGCTGACAGAAAATTACTAATAAATGTACTGAAGAGGGGAGTTGAGACACACAATGGTTGAATGAACAAGGAATATAGAAGCCAGATCTCCTGATTCCCAGTCATGAGCTCTCATCACAGACCATTCTTTTCCCAAAGTACAAAATGGTGGTGCCAGAACATACTGCAGAGTATAGTAGACAAAGATGAGAGAAGTTTGTTCATATTATTACAATGCATTACCTACACATGGACAAAGAAAAGAGAGTTAAACTCTTAAGTTTGTCTATCTGGGAGAATTAATTTGAATAGCTTCCCCACATCAACACTTACTCCAGTATAAATTTGTCCACACAGTGAGCTATTCTGGATTCTCTTTTGTGCTTTAAATTCACACTTTAATCTGAAATAACTTTCAAGTGTAGACAAGGCCTTAGTTATTTAATGTGTCAATATGAACAGTTCTAACTGGGGGTTGGCTGCTACTTCCAGTATAATTGAGGGAGTGGCAGCAAAAGAATAATTTTAAATCAATGGAATATGTTGCATAGAAAGGATAACACCATCTTAAAATGCAGAGGAGGCAATGAAAAAGAGCATTGTCTTACAAAAGCTCATTTTAATAAACTTACTTGTTAAATCAATTGCACATTCCACTAGTCCTGGCACTGGTGGAAAGTCATATCCAGAATGTGAAGCATGGATGTAAGTAGGTCTGAGTCTAAGGAGTATACTATATAATCTGTCCAAATTTTCCTGAAAATGATTCCACTTGAGAGCTGGAATATTAACCATGAAGTTCTGTTCTACAAACCAGTTTGAGGGCCCAAAAGCGCACAACGAAGTGACTGGATTAAAAAAAAAAGACTCTCTTCTGCCTTCCAAATCACCATCTTCCTCCAAAGTTCTGAAAACAAAGCAAAAAAAAAAATCACTTTGAATATTCAAAGTCAATTTTATCCTTCTACTTCCACTGCTGTTCGATAATCCTATAGCAGGACCCTGGACTTCAGAAAAGTAGACTTTGATCCCTCAGGGAACTGATGGGCAGGATCCCCTGGGAGGCTAATATGAGGAGGAAAGGAGTCCAGAAGAGCTGGCTTTATTTTAAAGAAGCCTTATTGAGGGTGCAGGAACAAACCATCCCGATGTGCAGAAAGAATAGCAGATATGGCAAGCTTGGCTTGGCTTAACAGAGAAATCTTCAGTGAGCTTAAACACAAAAAGGTAGCTTACAAGAAGTGGAAACTTGGACAGATGGCTAGGGAGGAGTATAAAAATATTGCTCAAGCATGCAGGGATGTAATCAGGAAGGCCAAAGCACAAATGAAGTTGCAGCTAGCAAGGGATGTGAAGGGTAACAAGAAGGGTTTCTACAGGTATGTTAACAACAAGAAGATCAGGGAAAGTGTGGGACCCTTTCTGAATGGGGGAGGCAATCTAGTGACAGACGATATGGGAAAAGCTGAAGTACTCCATGCTTTTTTTGCCTCCGTCTTCACAGACAAGGTCAGCTCCCAGACTGCTGCACTGGGCAGCACAGTATGGGGCGGAGGTGAGCAGTCCTCAGTGGTGAAAGAACAGGTTAAGGACTATTTAGAAAAGCTGGACATGCACAAGTCCCTGGGGCTGGATGCAATGCATCCGAGGGTGCTGAGGGAGTTGGCTGATGTGATTGCAGAGCTATTGGCCATTATCTTTGAAAACTCATGGCGATCGGGGGAGGTCCCAGGCGATTGGAAAAAGGCAAATATAGTGCTCATCTTTAAAAAAGGGAGGAAGAATTTGGGGAATTACAGACCGGTTAGCCTCACCTCAGTCCCCAAAAAAATCATGGAGCAGGTCCTCCAGAAATCCATTTTGAAGCACTTGGAGGAGAGGAAGGTGATCAGGAACAGTCAACATGGATTCACCAAGGTCAAATCATGCCAGACCAACCTGAATGCCTTCTATGATGAGATAACTGCCTCTGTGGATATGGGGAAAAGTGGTGGACGTGATATACCTTGATTTTAGCAAAGCTTTTGATATGGTCTCCTACAGTAGTCTTGTTAAAGAAGTATGGATTGGATGAATGGACTATAAGGTGGACAGAAAGCTGGCTAGATCGTCAGGCTCAACGGGTAGTGATCAATGGCTCAATGTCTAGTTGGCAGCCGGTATCAAGCAGAGTGCCCCAGGGGTCGGTCCTGGGGCTGGTTTTGTTCAATGTCTTCATTAATGATCTGGATGATAGGATGGATTGTACCCTCAGCAAGTTCGCGAATGACACTAACCTGGGGGAAGAGGTAGATATGCTGTAGAGTAGGGATAGGGTCCAGAGTGACCTAGACAAATTGGAGGATTGGGCCAAAAGAAATCTGATGCGGTTCAACAAGGGCAAGTGCAGAGTCCTGCACTTAGGATGGAAGAATCCCATGCACTGCTACAGGCTGGGGACCGACTGGCTAAGCGGCAGTTCAGCAGAAGAGGACCTGGGGATTACAGTGGACAAGAAGCTGGATATGAATCAACAGTTGCCAAGAAAGCTAACGGCATATTGGGCTGCATTAGTAGGAACATTGCCAGCAGATCGAAGGAAGTGATTATTCCCATCTATTCGGCATTGAAGCCACATCTGGAGTATTGTGTCCAGTTTGGGGGCCCCCCACTACAGAAAGTATGTGGACAAATTGGAGGGATTCCAGCAGAGGGCAAGGAAAATGATTAGGGGGCTGGGGCACCTGACTTATGAGGAGAGGCTGAGGGAACTGGGCTTATTTAGTCTGCAGAAGAGAAGAATGAGGGGGGATTTGATAGCAGCCTTCAACTGCCTGAAAGGGGGGTTCCAAAGAGGATGGCGCTCGGCTGTTCTCAGTGGTGGCAGATGACAGAACAAGGAGCAATGGTCTCAAGTTGCAGTGGGGGGGTGTCTAGATTGGATATTAGGAAAAACTATTTCACTAGGAGGGTGGTGAAGCACTGGAATGGGTTACCTAGGGAGGTGGCAGAATCTCCATCCTTAGAGGTTTTTAAGGCCCAGTTTGACAAAGCCCTGGCTGGGATAATTTAGTTGGGGTTGGGCCTGCTTTGAGCAGGGGGTTAGACTAGATGACCTCGGGAGGTCTGTTCCAACCCTAATCTTCTATGATTCTGTGCTCTTCAGGAATGCTTTTATCTCCATCTAGCCTTGAGCAAGAGATTGTGACTGAGTCAGACACAGACCTTGCTACTGTGA